AGCCAGCTGAGGTGGTTCGGGCATCTGACAAGGATGCCTCCTGGGGTTGGTGTTCCAGGCATGTCCCACTGGGAGGAGGCCCCGGGGCAGACCCAGGACACGCTGGGTGTCCTGAAATTATATCTCTCGGCTGGCCTGGGAACTCCTTGGTGTTCCCCCGGATAAGCTGGAGGAGGTGGCTGGGCCCCCGCGACCCGGGGTATGATAAAGCGGATGAAGATGGATGGATGGATGGATCGTTGGATGTGACTTTTTCACATTATTCTGGAAAGGTTATGGCCCACTCTTCCTGAAAGCGTTGCTTTGGGCAACGCTTTCAGGAAGAGTGGGCCATAAGAGGTGTCTTAAGGTCCTGACACAACCTTTAAATCAGACTGAGGTCTGGACTTTGACTTGGCCATTCATGGCCATTCTGTTGTAGATTTGCTTGTGTGCTCGGGATCATTGCATGACCCATTTTGGCCAAGCTTTAGTTGTCAGACAGATGGCCTTACATTTAATTCTAGAATACTTTGTATACAGAGGAGTTCAACCCAATGACTGCTGCGTGCCCTGGTGCTGTGGCTGCAAAAAAAAGACCAAATTTTCAACCCTTCACCAGTTTGCCTGACAGTTGGCATGATATGTTTCTACTGACATGGTGTGTTTGGCTTTTGCCAGGCATGGCAGTGTGCATTATGGCCAAACAGCTTCAAGCTGTTCTTACTGTCCAAGGGACATTGCTCCAGAAGTCTTTTAGTTTCTTCTGATGTAACGTTGTTAAGCCTCCACGTTCTTTTTACAGAGAAGATGGTTTCTCCTGACAGCTCTTATGAAAAAAACCCTATTTGTTCAGTCTTTTTTTCATTTTTTACTGCTATGAAAGTTTAATATTCAACATGCCGGTGCCAACAGAGCATGTGGAGTGTAGAGCTTAGATTTGAGTGGGTTTGTTGGGACATCCACTTTTTGAAAGATTGCTGCACACCTGGAAGCTCCAGACCAGCAAACTGCTTAAACTTCTGCTTTTATAGAGGCGCTCACACTTGCTTATAATCATTTAATTAAGTGCATTAATTAAGCATCACTTGGCTGCTGTTTAACTTCTCAATTCCTCTGAAAGCAGGAAGAATGTACTTTCAAAGGCATGTGTCAGCCACACTGTAGCTCACTTGTTTTTTAATCATTTCATTCTTCAACCCTATTACCAAAAAAAGAGTGTTGCTATGTGCAATATAACTCAAAAGATTCATTTTTAGCAAATCAGTTAAAATGTAAAATGTAAATATAAATTGAAATATTTCCAATTAAGCAGGTCTGAATTTAAGAAATTATATACATTTATGTCTAATTCAAATTTGTTGCAGATTTTTATAAAAAAAAACAAAACAAAACAAAAAGAAACGGAGCATCGTTTGCTAAAGCTGCATTTTGTTATAATGTAAACAACAACAAGAGTCTGAGTGCTAAGTTGACCAGCTTGCAGTCTGCATATAAAAACATTTGGCACAATATCAAAATAAAAATAATATATAGCAAAGCCACAGAAATTCTTCACCATCGAGTATACTTTTTTTTTAAAGTTTACCTTTAAAACTACTGTAATTAGTTTCATCAGTTCTCAGACACATAGTGTTCTTACAAGATGATGTGATGCCATCCATGATAATCATTCAGACATCCCAAATTACAAATAAAATGAAACTATGACATTTGAATAAATATGTGTACGGTTTCCATTGAAATATTGGGATTATTGTAGGTATTGCATGATTCTTTAATGAATAAATGTATATCTAGGTTGAGTCATTTTGCTTTTGCTGTAAGGATGCAACGATACCATTGCTTGAACAAAAGAATAATGTACCACACAGGTTATCAGTCTGTATAGTTTTCAGTTTTACATGATAAGTAACTTGTTAATAAACACTGTTAGCGGGCCTCATTGTATGTTTCTAATGGTGAACCAATCAAAAGCATTTGACCCATGGGCCTGTGTGCGTCCTTATACCACGCTGACTATCATAATCTATCCCTTATTTGAAGCAGTAAGTGAAACATTACCACTGATGGAGCTGCCTGTGATGAATTTGCCATTTTCATTCACCATTTTCTTCATTTAGAAAAATGCTCCATGCAGCGATGATAATCATGTATTATGTTCTGGACAGACGACAATGACTGAGACATGTAAGTGACAAATGTGACAGACAGATATGGATTGCAATTTGTCATTGTAAAACATGTTATTTAACTTGCCTCTGAAGCAAATTTACTAGATTTCTTCTTCTTAGTACAAAGATGACTGCTAAAAAAAACAATAATGACACTAGTGGGCTAAAAGAAAACAAAAAACACAAATAAAAAGAAAGAAAGAAAGAAAGAAAGAAAGAAAGAAAGAAAGAAAGAAAGAAAGAAAGAAAGAAAGAAAGAAAGAAAGATGTATTGTCTAAAGCAGTTACTTATAGTCTGTTCAGATTGGTGTATCTCTGCAGTCCTATTAAGACTTGTACCAGCAAATCTCCAACATGTATTTGTTTGAATGGATTATAAGGTTTGAAATATCTGAAAGCACCTTTTGTTACAATATCTAGATGTTTTTAATTTAACTTTTTGAAATAAAACCATTCTGTTAGGGAAAACCATTTGCATACAAGAAGAACTTTAGTATTATGTGATATTTAATCTTCATTAGATAAGTTAAATGGGTTTTCTCTCTCTCTCGTTTGCACTAAATGCAGGCAAACGGGGGATTGCGAGGACATCAAGACAGAGAGAGTGCAGGTCCCGAGTATTTTTTTTTGTTAGGGCTTTCATGTGTGGATAGAAGAGGAATGCACAAGTGTAATGACACCACCACCTAGAGAAGGTGGGGGGCACTGTCTGGCTATTAGAAACGGAAAGGCATTTAGAGTGTGTGCGTGTGTATGTGTGTGAGAGACAGAGTGGGGGGCAGAGAAAGGCTGAGATAAGTTCAGCACCACGGACAGAGCATTAGAGCGCTGGGCAGGAGAAACCAGTTCAGGGATTTGAGATGTGCACTGTCATGCCTTCTTGAACTCCTGAAGGATTTGCTGTCCGCTACATCCGCACCCATTCGTGTCGTCCTTTGGACGGTGGAAACTCGGCTGCTGTTTTGTTGTAGTCGCTAAACAAGGGAGGTGAGAGAGCTGCAGAGATAAGTGCGCTCTCTTTGCTAGCACAGACCAGTCTGTGTTTTGGCGCCATCCTTACATCATCTCTTTATTGGGGAGAGAGAGAGGGAGAGAGAGAGCGCGCGCGCGAGAGAGAGAAACTCCGTGCAGCCGGGCTCCTATCCGCCAGTCCTCAACTGAGAAGCGAGACTGACGGACCGACTGGCGTTACAGCCACTCAGCTGTGTGTTCCCCTCTCCCGCTCTCCTGCGCCCACAGCAGCCGTGAAGATGCGCCGGCACCGTCCTGCCCAGGGACTGACGTTGTTATTGCCGGTGGTTTTATGGATTTTCTGTCATGTCAGCGGTGTGCACGGAGCTCTACCAACAACCCGTAAGTTGTTCTTTTCAGTATTTTTGAAATGGTCTTCCAGGGCTGTTTGGGTGAGAGTGGGAATGGGTGAGAAACAAACGATCTGCCTGTGGAGAGAAGCGGCACAGGTAGAGGTTTACGGCTACGTTAGTAGTGCCGGGCGACAGAGGCAGCGAGAGGCAGAGGTTGAAGCGGGGTCGACTTTTGAGTTCAAGCCTAAACGTGTTAGCGCTTTAGGGTCTGTGGTGCCTTTATTTTTGGCGCACGGGATTTTTATGACCGCTGAGATGTTTAATTGCGTTTTTTTAGGGGACTCCAGAAATTACTTGAGTATTGAGGGATAGTCACAGAATTAGTGAATGGCATTTAAGTTTGGCAGTAGTGGTTTGCTGTTTATTGTGGAGTCCCAGTCATCAAAGTGGACCCGAGAGAAGAACAGTTGGAAAACGGTTCAACTTCCAACAAACTGTCCCCCCCCCTCCTTTTTATTTTCAACGCTTTCTGATGTTCTGTAAGAACATTACATTTGGTTTTAGACTATTGCGTTTGCATAAAACAATCCAAGTAAAGAGATTTTGCTGAATGCCCATTTTCTTTTAAAAAGAGTTGTGGTCTAATAGGGCTAAGCTGTAACTCTCAACAACTAAGGGTGCATTGATTTGAATGGTTTTGTCTACTTGTACGGTCTGATTTAGTTTTTTTTATGGTGTGCAGTTTGCATTCTGATTAGACTCTCCATCAAGCTCACTGGTCTCAGCATATTAAAGCCTAAGCCTTTTTTTAAGGTCATTGGAAAACTTAGATGATTAGCATTCCGCTTTTATTTGCTCCCCCCCCATAAAGCCGCCACTTCACTGCTTAATTCTTGGAACACTTGATGAAGGCTTCTATTCGATCCACGCTGTAATTTCAGTCTTGAGAGTTTGTTTAAACATTGCCCGCTGTTGCATTTGTTCCTAACTCTAATTGTCATTGACATACTCCAGGAATTCAGTGTTTATATTTTATGAACATATCGACCGCAGTTGTTTCTTTTTCCACTTTTATAGCATACTGAAGTAACTGCGTGTCTGACAGTTTTGATATAGAATGCGTTATTACTGGTCTTATCTGATTTTTATTTATTTATTTAACTTGGATTATCCAGCCTTGGTTCAGTGGCATTGCGATCTTGCTGACGGTGACTGAGCCGATACTCTGAGGGTTCAGTGTAACTGATTCCCCCCGCGATCGCAAGGGCTTCTCAGGTCCTGGATGGATGTGCCCGTGGACGCGCCTCATTAATCATCCCATCTGACAGACAACAACGGAGAGACGCTACCGCGAGTCGCTTGAGCAGGGGTACGCGCGCGAAGCAGTGTCAGAGAGCGTGACGGGAGGCAAAGGATACCTGGAGAGTTGGAAGAGTTTGCCTGTGCGTTTCTCGCGCACAAAGCTTTCGTTAATAAGAGCGACCTCACAACGATCAGGTGTCATTGTGGCAACGCTTGATAAGATGTGGAAATCCAGAGTCCTCTTACTCCCGTCACCTGGAGGGTCTGACCGGGGGAGCCTCGCTATATCTGAGAGGACAGTGTCTCATTAAAAGTTAGATTTCAGATCGCTTTAAAAATGTATCAGCCGCCACCTCTTACATTTTCCTATAAGTAATGAGTGAGAATGTGTTTTACCATTTATCTAGAGCCTTTAATATTATAATGCAAACATGTGCAAGTCTGTAAGTGTTTCCAGTGTACATTAAGCATGTGTGTTCTGTGTAAGACAAAAAAGCGACGGAAGGATTTTTTCCCCTGTTCATGCGGGTTTATGTTCATTTGCATGTTAGTTGTGAATTCATCTAAGTTTTCACAAATCCAAGTTGAATCAAGTCTTTTTTTCTTCCTTTCTTTTTTAATCGGGCTGGTACATTCACACAAATCCTCGGCCTTACTTTAAAGGAAGATAGATGATAATCTGTGAATTGTACACTCACCATAGAATTCGACAGATCAGAAACAGAAAAACATTGAAAAACAGCAAAGGTGGTCTGAAGCCAATGCAATGGAGATGATAAAGTGATACGCTGAAAAACACAAGAATATGCTCCAAGAGGACATCCGGCAAGTGTTACCAAATAAGATAAGACAGAGCCAAATGGCCTTCTTGCTACCGTGAAAACCTGGGAGCAGGGCAGACTGCACAAACACATAGACACACAAAAACCACAAAAAAGGGAGACAGACACAAACAGTTGAGAGCGAGAGAGGAAGAGAGAGAGGAGTAGTGATCAGACTCCTGGAGGATCAAGATTCAGCTCCAAAAACATCTGGACCGAAGCACTGACAGCCAAGGGAGAGAGCGATGCCTCAAGGATGGATAGGGGTCTGGTAGCAGCAAGCACAAGCGAAACAGGAGTGAATATAACCAGGCAATCCAGTGAAAAGTTAAGAGGAAACAATGATTTTAAGTTTGGATTTAAAGCCCTGAAGGGAAACAAACAGGGAGGTTATTTCAGAGGAAGGGGGATGTGATTGGTTGGCTGTGAAGCTGGCTGATTTCTTATTAACTCTGGGGCCAGACACATGCCCTATTATTGCGTCCTCTTGCAGCGCTTAGTGCAAACATTTTGAATCAGATCAAAGTTTTACAAAAAGGGAAGCTTCATGCTGTCTCATGAAATAAAGTGTTTCATTTTTCTATCATTTTATTGGGTTAGGGTTAGAATTACGATTATAATTAGATGAACATGCATGCACAAATATAGATACAGTAACTCAGAAATACATATAAGATGTACACTCAGCCATCAGATACATGCAGTGGAAGAAAAATGGGTTATGTCTGTCGTTGGTGTACTTTAGTGGTATCCTCTACTGAGCTGTCACTGTGCAGTATGTAAATCTGTTGTTGATGTACTGTGTCAAGGCAAGGTCTGCCTACCATAATGTTTCATAATCATTTCATAACCAATCAGACTTTAATTTTTCTCTTTACCATATTTTTTTCTGATTAAGTTGGTTCACACAGAAAATTCACGACTGGATTATTTGCTCAGTGTCCATATACAGTGCTAACATACTTAAATATATTTTATATGCACAGATATTTTCCTTGGCTGTAAAATATTCCAAGAAGAGCTTGTTTTATTTAGCTTTAAAGGTTATAATTTTAATTAATTCGCTTTGAACTCCCTGGCGCTCCTTTGCAAAGCTGCTATTCATTACTCGCATAGTAAAGGACAAGAATTAAATTTTTAAGAGTCACAGCACCAGTGTGTAAAACGTAAAGGATGTGCCTTTAAGTCAGTGTGTTGGTGGGACTCTGGGTGGTTAAATGGGATGCCCCCAGAGCCTGTCTGATATAGAATCAGATTAGCCTTTTCTCATCTCATTAAGCTTGCCAGGCCATTTGACATAGACATCAGTCTGGTTTCACCTCCAGGGCAACAAGTCAGGGTCTCCTGTTCTTCAGTATACATATATAAAAAACAATATAAAGCCAAATGGTGACATTTGCACACAGAAGTGTTCTTGTGTGAGTGTGAATCACTGGCAGTTTTTCCAGGTTTTGGTCCAAACAAATCATTTGACACTGGAAAAAGAAATTTAGCTTTTTTCCACTCAAATAAATTATTGCATTTCCAGTCTCTTCTACTGGGATATAGAGTGAATATGGTTATAAAAGCAAACCCTTTAACCACCACATGGGTCAACTTCTTGCCAATTCTCTGTCTTGTTTTTGTGTTTGTGTGTCTGAGATGGCTCCCATTAGGAGGTGATAATGATAGGATTAAGGCTGCAGGAAGCAGACTGGTTAGGCTCAGATTAGAGCAGCACTACACTTGCTGTGTAGCTATGTTTGGCCCTTGGATATTTATATGTGTGCACCTGCCTGTGTTTTGGGAATGTGTGTGTGTGCGTCCACATTTGTGGATTAATCATGCACTGAGACAAGTGAACCAGCGCTAGGAAATAAGGTGTGGATGTTAATTGCACTGCTGTTTCTCTGCTCTACCCCCTCCATCTAAATTGCTGCCTTCCACCTGTTTTTTTGCTCCTTTGCACTTCCTTGATTGCTTATCCTCCCTTTCTAATTCTCTTTGTAGCTCTTCCTCTACCTTTACACCTACCTTTATGCCTCCTCAACAAAATCTAGCAAAAATAAAAAGCAAGTCATCTCCTATTTTTCCACTGCCTCAACCCTACCTGTAACTGTAGTGATTCATCTCTCTCACCCCTACATGTCACCCATTACTCCAAATTCCTCAGTCTTTCT